CTGAAGTGGTAATGTGAACTTCAGAATTTATAACTCAAAAAAATATTCACAAAATATAGCGACAAGAATAAACTTGTATAAATAAAAATTAAAGATAAACTCAAAAAGGCACCACTTCATGCACAAAAAAAATTAGTTTGTCACACTGGAAGCATAAAGCACACAAAAGAAGACATCTGAACTTATATGCTGCCAAATGAGAAGTGGAGGTTCAGCAGAAAAGTGTAGAGGGAGTAAAATGAATCATATAAGCATGTCGTGTTACTGTTGGTTAAGAGATGACCCATGATGATTTGAATGAAAGACATATTGGAATATAGTAATTCCAACAAGGGGGATGGCACAAGGCTTGTGCCATGCATAAAGAAAAGTTTGCATATAGAGGTCAGCACTGAATGAGAATAGCTAATCTTGTGAGAAGGGGAAAGTATTTAGGTTTTACACATCATATTTACAAAATCTGAAAAGTGGTCCTGTAGGATTGCACTCCACTCCTAGCAAAGAACTTGTATGAACCTTAGAAGCTGATATTTGGGAAGCATTCATGGAGAGTTATCAAGGATGAATCATAAACACTTGCTAAGGTTCATATCCAACTGGCCTGGCTACAGCAGAATGGTAATGCTCTAGTTTTCAAGCTATCATTTTGTGACTTGGGCTGAAAGAGCAGGAGCTTCATCGTGCATGAAAACATTGCATTGTCTGGTAAGTTGGTCATTGAAATAAACAAGTAGAACGCCTTGTTCGAGTACTGTTAATTCATCGATCAGCAATGATCATCCCTCCACATACCCCTAACTACCCAAAAGGAAACCTACACCATAACAACTATTCTGCTGTATTTTGTTATGGCTTATAGACAGTTCAATAAAAGTTCTTGGGAGGATAATCACTAACCTGGGTGTGTTTACTGTTCAAGAATAGTGTAAATCTATATTCATTGGAAAAGGCAGAAGTATGTTAAAGAATCTGTGATTTCTACTGTTTTTTAGATACAATATTGCCTGGAATGAGGACTTGCTTCAATTAGCTACTCTTCCACCATGCTATGAAGATAACTTTTGATGGTAATGGGACATTCTTGATTCTGCTCTACAAAGACAAGTGACCTTTTGATGTGGATCATTCTCCACACTTTTTCTCACATATGAAAAGTTAGTTGTGTTGGTTCTGGGCACCCAGACATTTAAAAGATTGTTGTTTTATGAAGTAACTGGAAATGCATTGTTATCAAATTCACGCAAACAGCAGTAATGCAAGAAACCTGGCAACTTCTTGCTAATTTTGAGTGTCTTCCCATACTTCAACTATGTGACCTCATGAAAATATGGTAAATTCCAGAAATCCTTTCTTTCACGGTATAGCTGCTGTTATTTTATAATCTTTACTGAAATAAACCAGTATTTATGTCATGATTATTTGTGTTTGTTGTCATGAAGATGGACAATATGTATTCTAAAGGATGTATATTTACTTCAAAGGCATACTGTATTTGCATATTAATTCTAAGGTCTCATAATTTATCTATGCTTAAACAGTATTGCACTCTTGATTGAACCTTTGATATAAAAAAAAAACTCATAACACAACACATTTAAATAATCAAAATTCCATTAGATTACAGCAATAACTTCTTATGTAAGTCACAAGAAAGAAAATCAATTGCACAACCTATGAACACAGTTGGCTAGTTGTTGTTAGTGGGAAGTGATATCATTACAATACAGAAACAATAACAAAGGTATTAAAACTGCCTAGATATGTGTGTGTGTATATAACATAACAATGTTTAGGGATAACAAGGGACCTGTTGGTTCATCTCAGTTGTCCCATCCACTAAACTAAACAAAAAAACATTAAATAAATTTTTAAAAAATCTTAAAGCCAGCACTTTGATAACCCCATGCATTATCTTGCATTTATTATAATTAAAACCCATCTTCCATTTATTTGACCAACTCATTAAATGATCTAAATCCTTTTGTAAAGCAGCAGCATCCTCTTCAGAGCTAGCAACACCCAAGACTTTAATATCATCAGTAAATTGACCAATCCTTCATCTATGTCACTGATGTAACTCAAAAACAGCAAGGTCCAAAGACTGAGTCCTGAGGTACCCCACATGTGACATTAATCCAGTTTGACTGAACTTCATTTATAATAAGCCTCTTCTTTCTTTCATCCAGCCACTTTTCTATCCAATTAGTCAACTTATCCTCTAAACCTATAGAGATAATTTTATTTACAAGTTTTTCATGTGGTACCTTGTCAAATGTTTTCTGAAAATCCAGATACACCAAATCTACACCTTTACCCTTATCTCAATAAGTGGTAATCTTTTCAAAGAATGTCAAAAGATTTGTAAGGCAAGATTTGCTCTTAGTGAAAGTATCCAATAAAATTCTATACTTCGTTAAATGGCTTTGCAAAGCATCTTTTATCAGACTTTCCAAAATTAATAGGCCTATAACTACTGGGACAATTTTTATTATCTCCCTTGTTCTATATATATTTATGTATATGTATAACAAGTGAAATTTCATTTAAACACAGGCTTAATAAATACATGCATACAAACATTAGTTTGCAAACACAACAAAAGTTACTAGAAAGTGAATAGTTGGCCAGTTTCTTTCCATACTGGGTGTATAAGTTACAAAAATAGTTTGCATCCCTAAAATTCCTAAAGAAGAAACCTAAGACCTCTTGTTATATTAAATTCTAATATATCAGAGTTGACATCAGTCTCTAACAAACAGATTAATTTGCAAACTTGGCTTACTGTAGTAATGCAGCTCCTTAATATAATTCAAAGATCTCTAACAACAGGGTATTAAAAAAAACTGACACATGGACTATTAAATGTTGTAAGCATGCACATTTTCCACATGTACATGTACTTCTTTAGGAATTATGAACAAAGTTTACAGTTGAGGTATTCAGGTACACTGATATCCATCAAGAAATATTAGATAGGGAATAATGATGGACAGCAAAGAAAATAAAAAATTACACAAGACAATAAACAAATCTATATTCACAATAATGTGCAAGGTTTAACACAAAATTGGCCAGTTTCTATTGCAACTTCAACTGTCTGGTGAGGTAAAGCAGCTTTCCAAATGTCTGGAAAAGACTGCAACAGAAATAATGTTATACCAGAATTTCATGTCAGACAAAGGAGTCCTAGTAGAGTCTTACGATCCACGGATTAACTAGTACTACATCAAGACTACTCCAAATGACATATTAAGGGAAATAACTCCCATGACATATCAACTTGAACAAGAATCTATGTCACTTAATGAGATAGGGCTTTGCCAACTTCAGGAAATGGACCAGGCACAGGGAAAATCTGGTACAAGCTTCTATGAAACAGCCATTGTTCATTGTCATATGTAAGCTTTACCAAACCAAAAGGATTTGTGCATGTTTAGGACCTTTTGACATCCAGTTAACAAAAATGTCATAACTATATACACAAAGATTACCTGAATATATCTTACTCCAAATAACATTATAAATTACTTACAGAAGAATGAAATTATCAGTTATATCAATTGCAAAAGGATTACAAGCATTTACAAAACTTTGATGATATAAAGAACATCAAAATTTCAACAGAATATATAATCTACATAGAACTCATTGCTTACTTTATTACACAACATAAATCAATTCATAGTAAAATACTTATAATTTTACTAATGATAACAATTTTTTAACATTAACAGTAGTTGAAATTATCCCAACAAATGAAGCATATCAGATACTCATCATGAATAAGCATAATTCATAAGTATGATATAAACATATATGTACCAGTAATAAACATCATACCTGAGTTATTTCTGCTCTACCAGACAACTTTCCAGAAATGGGTAGTAAGTCACCAGTATAACTGTCAGGATTGGAAAAGTATGAAACTTGAGATTGTTTCAATGATTCTAAACTGTGTACCTGTCTCTTCAAATGTGGTTTACTCCTATCTTCTGCTTGATGCTGTACATTAGTATTTTTATGACTTTCTTTTATATCACTATCACTGTGATCTCTCATCTTAATTACTGAAGAACGGGGTGTAGCTTTTTGCAAATGTACTGAGAAGTCATACTTGGAAGAAGTTTTTCCATTGATATGAGAAGACAACGGTGTGAAAATCCCTTTTCTTTTCATTCCTGCTGGTGTAATTATATGGTTTTGAGATTGTGATGAGGAAGCACTCGGTTGATAATTTTTATTTGAATCTTCAGAAGAAACTGCAACTCTCTTAGCAGAAGGAAGTCTTGAGATATATCTAACTTTTAACTCAGGTGTACCAGTAACTGTATAAGTTAACTCTGTTCTTGGTATTGATTCAAAACTTAAACTCTGATGTGTTGAAATATCTGACTTACAAATGTGCAGTTGTTGGTCATCTTTATCAATGAGATTTTGTTTATCTTGACATGGATATGTAGTTTGATTCGTATCCTTACAAATTTTAATATTTCCTACATCAGTACTTTTGGAACACAAGTATTCTGATTCTTTGGATGTTAGAGGTTCTTCTTGAAGACTAGCAAGTTTTCTACTCAAGGAGCAAACATCTGTCTTTACCATTCTAGCACTTTGCAGAAAACATTCTGGTATCTCAGACATATTCTCTTTATTATCTACTGAAGAGTTCTGTACATTTTCTTGGAACTTGGTCCTTTGAGCAGAATGCATATTCTAATATATTATCTATAATAAATAATCACAATCAGCATGAAATATCATCAAACCAGCAAAACAAAATCAAGCAAATTAAAAGGCCATTCAATCTTTGCTAAGATCATAAAAAAAAAAAATCAAGTTTGATTTCAAAAATTAGAACAATTATGTTAAGCATTACAATAAACATGCATTCTAAATCTTTGTGTTCCTATTCATTATAAATAAAAATTATTTACTTGAGATATGATGGAGATTTAAATAACTAAATGATAATGTATTATGACTAAACAAGTCACTTCAAAATTCCAAATGAAAAACAGGAAAACTTACAAAATAACCCACTCACGAGTTATTAATCAACTGAGTTCCATAAACATTCAAGAGTGATATTTTTCTGTCATATTTTTCCTTTTATACATTCTCCTTTCTCAATTATTAAGTTTCAACCACATCACATTTTCACTTTTACATTACTTCTTAGAATTCCTTCCAAATTTCAAATGATTATTTTTCAAACAGTGTTATTTATTTGAATTTCACCATGTTTTGAGTTACTTTTTTGTTATTTTGATAAGAATATTTAGATTTTGATGTGCTCTAAAATAGTTTTATTTTTCACACCACAGACTAGAACTTTAATGAAAAAATACATATCTGCATTACATGATCACTGTAAATGCATTCAAAATTGTGTACTACTCAGTCATATTGTTTTGCTGCACTGCCTCTGAACACAAGAAAATATTCCACTTCTGTTTATGGTAAGTAATAGTGGCTATCTGAAAGCAGGCAACAATGATGAACAATAACATTTCTAAGTTTACCAGGTGCTAGTGATCCTATCCTGTTTTCTTCAATCAGCAATGACTCCTTTATGTACAGTAAAATATGACAACACCAAGGCATCAGTGGTGTCCAGTACACCACACATCAGTATTGAATTATATTAACATAATATCCTTGTTTAGTGCTACATTATTTTCAAGAAAAGCATATTTTCCTATTTTTAAATACATATTTCAACTTTAGTTTCTAGAGTTTTTTTGCGGTATAATTTCATACTGCTCTAATCTTAAACATAACTTCTAATAAAATATGGCTTTATTTACTTTGTCACTTCTGTAGAATTATAAAGAAATGTTTTGTACACATTTTAAAAATACCCCATAATTGCATATAAGCTACAGTGTTTACCTTGAAAATAAGTTCTTCAATGAACTGGATGAAAAACCTGATTTCGTTTTATATGTTGATAACTATGGTAAACAGCTTTATGAAAAATTAAACTCAGTTCATCCACACATACAATTCACTTATGAATAAGAATTAATAGCCAAACAGTTTCTCAACATTTTAGTTACATGATGTCCTGATGAGAAGTTGTGCACAGACACCTATCAAAAACCTATTTCCACACAAAAACTAGACATCCTTATTCTCAGTATATATATATGTATGTACAAAACTCTCATTTAGCATATATTGAACATTCACAAAATGGGCATTCATGATGAGGTGAACTATCTCAAAAATATTGTGTTTTCCAAGGATTTAAACCGAACTTAATAATAAATTTGTTTAATAAAATAAGAAGTACACTAAAACAGTAAATCTAATAATTACATATAGATTAAGAGATAGTTCTTATCAAGCAATACCCTATTACTCTTTTAATTTAAACCAAATAGGTGCTATTTTAAAATGGAATAAAATTAAACAGCTTATCAACCAGTGAACAAATTTTCAAATAAATTCATTCAACAAAGGAAAAAAAGAGCTCACAGGCAGGGTATTCATATAATTACTTGTTCTTATAGTGGTCAAAGAAAATTATCCCATTCAATTAAAGAAATAAGAAGACTATAAGTATTGTCATCAGAAGTAAGTTGAAAAATCTGCTTTAGCATTACATGTTCACACAACCAGCCACAAAATTAATTTCAATCAATCAAAAGTCATTAAAGAACCCAAATTCTTTCATCAAAGCAACATAAGAGAATCAATAGAAACATTCAAAAACAGAAAAGAAACATGCTTAATAATGAAATGGGATTTTAACTCAATCCTATTTGGAAGTAATTGTTTTCAAATTAGTTTTTGCACTCTAATGAACCTTGAGTCCTATGGGTGTCATTTTGACCTTAACTACAAGATAACAGTTTCACTCAATTGCTTGAAACCTATCAAAACTGTCCAAGAGTTTTTCATACATTTTATTAATTCTTTAATCATTTTACCATTATTATGCTCTTGTTTTTTTTGCATTATGTAATTTATTTTCGTTAATAAGAGAAATACAATTAGTTACAGAGATATGATTTATGCACCTATAAAAATCAGAAATCTAGCTACTGTAAACAAAAAAGCCCATTGCCCCAAAAAAGAATGCAAGATAAAGAAATAAGCATATATAAAGTAAATATACTTTGAGAATTTAATTTCAAAGGATGATTGTTTGAATTTCGTTGTAATCAATCAAAATAAAATATACTGATAGTTTCAGAGTGAATGCTCTATGAAACTGTGAATGAAAACTGAAGTATAATTTCACTAGATGTATCTTAAATTTTTTATTGCTTTTCCTATTATAGTCTTTAGTTTTTAAAAGTAAACTAAGAATACTCTAAATCTTATCAATAATCTATGTATCTAGACTAGTTCTTACATTCTCTTACTCTCCTAGATTCCTCTTTCTCCTACCTCAAGCAATGAAACAAAATATATGATAAGACTTATAAGCAACAACAAAATAAATAGATAAAGCCACTCCTGTGTTAATTAGCGAGATTAAATGTACAATTTCGCATTTTAAGGAAATAATGGTGTATCTTTTCCTTTAAAATATTCACTGCATATATATTTTCTTATACACTTAACAGCGGTTAACACAGGATATTATATCTGATAGTGTAACGTGATAAATATTTAAAGCAGTCTAACTAATTGGACAAATCAACACTTAAGTATATAAAAAACTAGTAGTGACCCAGAAAAATATGTAAAAGTGAACTTCAGTGTTACTGTTTGGTAACTGAAGAATATATATATATATCAATAAAAATTATTTACTCAAGGTAGAAAACATTCACTTATTAATTATTTTCAAGTTTCAGGGTGAAAGATAAAATGCCAGATTATATACCAGTTTTGAGGATAAACAGTTAATAAAAGTAAATATGAGGTTAATGAAAGAGAAACTACCTGAAACAAGCTGTCATTTCTTCTTTTTCAATAGTTTAATGCAGTTTCCCAAACTTTTGTCATCCACACACACATACACACACACGCATTTAAAAATATGGTTTCTTGCACACAATTCTCTCTATTTTAACAGAATGAGTGAAAGAGTAAGATAAGTGATGAGGGTGTAACATACGGATACATTAAAATGTTATATGTGTTGTAGTAATTACCTTTATTTTCATTAATAAAAATACATTAAAATGCTTAGTTTTCCATTATTGCACTATTGACTCTACCCTAATTGCTCAAGCCCCCCAAAAAAATCATTTTCACCACCCTATGGGGGGGGGGGGGTCATAGTCAACACTTTGGGAAATGTTGGTTTAATGTATTTCTGGTGTTCCATGCCTCTCATTGTATGCAAAACAGCTATCATTCCATCTCATTCCACTTGTATATGGTAAAAGGTTTCAAGATGAGTTTTACGGTCTAAAAGATATGAGCTGTCATTCCTTCTTTTTAAATACTTTAAATTTAATGTATTTCTGGACTGTCATTTCACTTTTATATAGTGCAGCAGTGTTACTTTTTATTAACTGTTTAGAATTTTAAGATTACTTTTGGAACTTAAAAGATATAATTAGTCATTCCGTTTTCAACAGTTTTAATACACTTACAGTTCTAGGCCTGTCATTTAATAAAATTTGATGGCAGCTATCACTCAGTGTCATTCCACTTGTATAATTTTAGTAGTAGTATATAGTTTAGCAGTATTACTTTTAGTTTTATTAAGTATTGGCTCTTGCACCTTTATAAATTACAGATATAATACTAACATCAGTACTATATTAATACTATTACTTTAAGTAACTAGTACAAGCATTACTAGTAAGTACCAAGATCTACAACTTGGAAATACTCTTTTTTTTTAGTCATTAGAGGATTAGGACTCACAATAAGACTACGAGTCTAAACTCAAAGTCAAACACACAAACTCAAAGCTAAGGACGCCATGACTACAAGTTTTTAAAAAGCTTATTTTAATATTTACTAATACTAATATTAGTATGCAATTATTACATACCAAAAGTTCAGTTCTCTTGGTGTTTGTTTTGTGTTGAGCTTAATCTAATTTTGTTTTCTTACTGATCCATTTTTTTTTAAATAAAAACTATCTATAATACTATCTAACATTAACAAATTACCGATACAAAGCCGAATTCCCTCTTTTTAAGTTGAATAATCAAGTTTAACTCTGATTGGTTATTTTCTATAGCGCCATCTCGTAGTTAGGTATGTGACGAGTGAGAAAATACATCTAAAAATAACTAAACATAAAGACGATAGCAACAATAAACAAATAATACAATAACATAACAAAGAAATGTAAACTATTTATTTAAAAGAAAATTTCTGCTCTTTTGTTACCATGCGGAGGGTTTTAGGAATTGAACTGGTCGCCAAAAACTATTCTGATAACCATCTTTTCTGATAAAAAAGTTAGCACACAGGATCACACACAAAAGACACCATGAATAATTTTTTTTTTAAATAAAAATAGTCAAATATTCGAAAGCGCTCGAGTTTTGGGTCTTTGTTTGAAGTTCATTGCACTGATACTAACACCAGCAAAAGAGGTCTGGGAGTCCTACCGCTCTATTTAGATCTAGTTAGCAATAGCAGGCTCCAAAATGGAGAAGTAAAGAACTGCACAGCAGATTATGGGATCATTGAGCAATGTGTCTTAAAGTATTGTTACGTCTCC